AATTATTAAAACAGAATTATGAAAAGTCAATGTGTACAACTTACGTAGCGTTCATGATTTAAGGAAAGTTTATAATAGTTGTTGGGTTAAGGTGTGTACTTATTCACTATCCCAAATAAAAAGACGACAGCAATGATCTTAACTTTAAATTCATGTAATGATTATTTTCCTTTATTACGACCTACAACACTATAACAGTATTTAAAACATTATATTTTTAGAATTCAGATTATACTATAAATAATATATTAAAAGATTGAGAATTATAAAGACGGTGTTAATTAAAAAAAATAATTCACTAAACTCGACACAACTAGACTTGATCTCCTTCAGGCGTGTCTTAACGTTTAGAGTTGGTTATAATAGAAAAATAAATCGATGACATCACACAAGTCCATGAATCACACATAAACTATTAACTTTACTCTATTTGCATATATATTATATAAAGTAAGTATAAATTAGCTTACATAATATGTATATACCTACTATATTATTGTCGCCGTTTTCAATGTTACGAGATCATAAAGCTTAGTAATAAAACTGTAAATGCACGAAGATATATAACATTGGTATTACACTAATAATAAATTCGAAACTTTCCGTAGTGTAATTTTTCTATGTATATTTACTAATAATGACAACACTAATAAAAGTTTCTAACGTTGACGAACAAACTTAACTTTGTTCTTAGAATAAAAATTTTCAAAGATCCACAAAGGTGATTGTTAAAAAGGAGCTCCGAAAAAGTGTAAAGAACCAGAGATTGGACAGCGACGACGTACGATGATTGTAACTTGATAGCAAAAGGTTTTTTTACTTTGTTTTTTGAATACGTACAATTTATAAGTTTAAATTTTTCAACCACAATATTCCATAAAAAAGAAGAAAATAAAAAGAGAAATATATCTTAATGTCACTTTACATATATTAATTGCGGAAGATTTTTGAATTCAGAAAAACTTAAAACTCTTTTTGAAAAATATTAAATTTATCTAAAAAAAACCAACACGAGACATTGTACACTCATAGTGATTTCATATATCTTTTTTATCATTCATTAAACTCCTCACGTTATCCTCTCAACGATAATAAAATAATAAACAGTTGGTATTAAGAATGACAATGAAAACTCATACTAAGAGAAAAGAAAATCGTCGTCTCAAAAACATACTGGCAATTGAATCTATTTGAATGTCTTCCAATTATTAATGTAAAAAAACGAAAAGAAATAAAAAAGTAATACCGTTTACAGAAATGTAAGTGATTTGGACCTCTACTAATAATAGTTAAAAAAAACTAATAAAACACACTTTTATAGCTTACCGAACAAAGTGGAAAAGAATTTGTAATCACAAATAAATTACATAATTTAATTTAGAGTAACAAGCGTGGGGTGCTTGATATTGAACGCTGTACGACCTACGAAGAATTACGAAAACATGTAAATGCATGGATCATAATTTTTGTTACATTGAAAAATTACAATATTATAACTTATAATAACTTTATTAAATTTTATCAATTCAGTTTGCATTCGGTCACCAAGCATACAATCATACATGCATCAATTAATCAATCTAAGAATCATTATCAATTTATATTCAAGTAGTACCTATCATTCTAGTGGCAACTATCCATGAGAGCAAAGATATAAAATGTAGGCAAACGAGCCCCACGTTTTAATAATAAGTGATTTATAAAACAATAAATATGGCACCTAATATTATACGATGTTTTCATTAGGTACTCTAAACTGTTTCAGAGTTCAGTGAAAAATATGACATCAAAGGAAAGAAGGAGGAAGTAAGTAGGAGGTCGTATGAAAAGCTACAAATAAATTTGTCACGTAATCTATATTTGTCACGTAAGATATTTGTGCAGTTCGACATACAGTGTCCGTTTAAAAAGTCACAGGATGTAATTGTACCTATAAAACGTTAAAAAGATATAAAAAGTCAGTGGTGACCTAATGGTTAAAAGGTCCGCCCCTCATGCGTGAGGGCGCGGGCTCGATCCTGGCCCGGGCAAGTACTAATGTAATAGTTCAGAGTCATATGTACTTTCTAAGAGTATTTAAACATCACTGATTAATGCATTTCCAAAGAGGGTTGATGTCAGGCAGGCGGCCGGTCGTAAAAGACCCTGGCTAAAGCTGGGAAATTGCCAGGTAGAAGAAGAAGAGTTAAAAAGATATAAAAAAGGTATAAAAAGATATATGTGGAATTAGAATGCAAGAAATTACTGGGAAAGTTATATAGACTACGAAGTGTTCAAGGAAAATTTTGAAGCAAATTACCTAGGATTAAAAAAAAAAACAATATGAATGCATTTTATATTGATTGTTGTGCGATAATTAAAATGAATGTGTTAATTTTGGGGTTCTCGTTAGTAGGAGACACAATTGAGGTGTGCTCAAATAAAGTTTGAGAAAATCTTTTACACGAATCTAAACTTTTTTACACGATGATAATGTTTTGGTTTGTGTTTCTCTTCGACAGAAGGTTGTGCTGATGACTTTTATAAGACATGCTTTTGCGTACGAGGCTACTACAAATGTTATTAATATACATATTTTTCTTTCATTCAGGCCTTAAAGTACAACTAACAATATTCTGATTCTCTCTTTCTAAACACCGCAGTTTTTGAAGCTCGAGTTCTTTCAGCCGTCCCTAGTCTGCTCGCACATGTGCATTAGAAAGATACAGAGACCTTAACGTGACTTACGAAGAAGCTTCTCCTACGTGTGTTACAGTTTCATTAAATAATAAACATATATTATATAAACCTATATTACAAACACAAAACAATCGATAGCATTTTACGATAGTTATATGATACAATTGCCGCACGTTTTTCATTCCTTCAACTGGGTCCTAAAATTCTTGACCGGCCAAAGAAACAAATAATTTTCCATATTACTCTTAATAAGAAATTCTTCGAGATGAAACAAAAAGGTTTAGTACAATGACAGTTTTAAACCAATTTTTAAAACATTGCCTACTTTAATGTATTTCATTAAAAAATTCACGGGCGGCGCATTATAAAAAAATTAAGTCATATCTGTGACAGATACCACAATATCTTCGTGACTTTACATGGTGATTAGTAGGTTATTGGATAATAGTTGTATTGGTGGAAAAATAAGCTGTGGCAGTATGAAGGTGACGAGGTGAGGAGACAAATATTTGTTCACCATATTTGTTACTCATGGTTACACTTAGTCACAAATTTGTCAAACCATATATCTCTATATATTTAATTAGCGCGCCAGTTGACTCTGCAGTCAGTAGCTTCATGTATTTATAATAAAAAACCTGCTATGTATGTATATAGGTACAAACAAGACATATAGTACGCACTACGTACAACACATGCCTATTGTTTTAACACACATTATATCTACATTAACTAATTTGAAAATTCAATTCTGATATTCACGCGGACGGAGTCGTGAGCTAAACCTAATTTTAATGTTTTACCTAATTTATAGTTTAATAAACATATAACCGAATTGAGAAGTTACTGCTTTTCCAGATAGCTAAAATACAAACTTATTCACTGCTTATGACATTACCTACCTGCTACTGAAATTTCTATAAAAATCGGCCTGGAGTTCTAGGAATTAGCGGGAACGAACAGACGGAAATAAGCAAAACGAATTGGTTTACCCTAACACACCGTCAATGTTTCAGATATAGACACATGAAATATTCTTAAAAATAGAGTAATTTAATATTTGCGAAGCACAGCTTCTGTAAATATAAGACACAATAGGTATATAAAGAGGCTCGATAAGCACTAGAACAAACAGTCTTCTATCACCGCAGACAATCAATTTGTAACTCAAATGGTAATGTCTTTTTGTAACAAAACACTCACGATGATATTACTACATCTCCTCGAGCGACGCGGCCGTGTGTTATATTAGAGCTATAGACGTCTTAGTTAGTGGATTGTTCATTTTGACCAATATTAAAATGAATTTGTAAATTTATTGTATTCTAGTTTAGCTATACTTAGTTTCTGTGTATTGGAGTGTTCCGATATGGTCGACCGTAAGTACATACCAGTTTTCTTTTTGCTAGACTTTAATATTGTTCCCTTAGCCTAAAAAATTATAAGTATGTCTCATGACATTAATCTGCAGATTCACAAGTTTTTTATTTATCAAATATAAGAGAACGTTTTGAAACTCACTTCTCTTACAGAACGGTTCATGAATCATATTTACATTTATTTCTTCACTTTAATGGTATTTCAGCGGATCGCCTTTTTTTCAAAAACTTGTTTAAATTATTATTATTATTTTCTCGAACAATTTATTCACTCTGAAGACTATCTTGTGGTCCTCCGGGAATAATGATTTAATTTTTTTTATATAATCCTTACATTTAGACACAACAACTGACCGAAGAATAAAAAAAGCACAAATGTATATATGTATTACTGATAATATTTAATGCCTAGTATAATGTTGAAATATCATTTTTTACGACCTTCGCTGTAGTGTTTACAGAGTGATGACTGTAAGTAACGTTATAAAGACTACAAAATTAAAGATAAAGATAAAGTTTACATTATTAACAATTACGTAACGAACAAAACGAGTCTGCGACTACCACATACATTCCTTACTTGTTTAATGTTCACTAGGTTTTATCCGTGAGTTGTTTTGTGGCATTATGACCACTGAACCCGAACTGCATCTCATTGTTCCACCCGTGTAGTTTTGGGATCGGGTTAAACCGTAGCTTATGTCCTTCTCCGGGGTTATATATATCCTACCAAAATTCATCATAATCGGTTCAGTGGTTTAGGCGTGAAAAGATAGCAGACAGAGAGATGGAGCTATTTTCGTGTTTATAATATTAGTAATAAGAACTGCATCAAGAAGTATCTATAGAAATGAAAGGCAGATTCTAAATAATGAAATTGTTAACGAATATTTGAATGTGGCAGACAGCGAAGTAGATATCCTTCCAGTGGCTCGCGGCCAGATGAGCGCCAGGAGCAAGCGTCCTAGTGAGTGGTGCCGCGTGTGGTCGGTGTCGGCGGCCGAGCTGTGCGGCACCTGTCTGCTGGTGCTGCTGTCCTGCCTGCCGGCGGCCGCCGACCCCCGGCCGGGCCTGCTGCAGCGCTCCGTGTCGGCGGGCCTGGTGGTGGCTCTCATCGTGCAGTGTTTCGACCACGTGTCCGGAGCTCACCTCAACCCGACCGTGACCCTGGCGGCCGCTCTGTCCGGTCGCACCTCCTGGCTCCTGGCGGCCGCTATGTGTGTGTCTCAGGTGGCAGGCTCCGCGCTAGGAGCGGTCGCCGCTCGCCTCCTCTCCTCGCGGGACATCGTCGCTGCTTGCATCACGACGCCCGCTTCTCATATCAGTGTATATCAGGTGATACGCACTTTCCATTCGATTTCCCGTTTATGGATTCATTACTTAGTAACTTGGAAACGTTTTAATATTTCTTCCATTGCGGTATGTGTCAGGCGGTGGTGATAGAGCTGTTGTTGGGTTGTTGCCTGGCGCTCGCTAACCTGTCCTCGTGGGATGTACGGAACCAATACCTCATCGACTCCTGGCCTCTCCGCATCGGCTTTACCGTCTCATCACTGTCCCTCGTCGCAGTGAATATTATATAATAATACTATTTATAATGTCTTCAACTGTAGTCATAAATTGGTTTACAGCAGTTACAGAGAAATATAGCTCACCTAACTCTTCTAGGTAGTAGTTACAGTCATTAACCAGTCCTTTGTACATATCCTATCTACTTTGAAGTAGTTCCGCAGCATTTTATCGCCTCCCTCCCTTTCGATGTCCCTGTAGCCTAACAATGTACTGAATACACCTCTATAGAATATCAGGCGTTCAAGAGATGTTTAGTCCAGGGGAATAAAATAATAAAATAACTATTTTCCAGGGTGACCTGACCGGTGCGAGTATGAACCCCGTCCGCAGCTTCGCTCCCGCGCTCTGCAGTGGAGACTGGACCTCACACTGGGTACGGACGAACGCTCCATCGGTGACTTAACAATTCACTTGTCATAATAATGTGGAGCTCGTGTGTCCGCAGGTATACTGGGTGGGTCCCCTGAGCGGCTCCTGCCTGGCGGCGGCGCTGTACGCGGCCCTGTGGCGGGACCCGGCCGCCGGCCCGCGCCGCACCGCGCCCGCCGCTACATGCACATACACACACCAACAGAACAAGACATAGATAAAGCTTCATACTCTATTGATTGATTTGTGCACACTTGTCTCTTTTTAATAAAATTAAAAGGAAAAACCGAACAAATATATTTTTCTCTTATTACCCTGTTTAAACCGACCGCGACCCTACGCCGGGTTCGACTTTCTCGTTCATCGCGTTAAATTTCGTAGACGATACGTTATCGTTACATTTGGATAAAATGGCGATGTAATACTAACGACGAGGCGTGTCTTTACGTGTTGTATTGTAATGTAACGGCTGACTCGTGACTGAAACAAATAACGAATAAAAGTTACGAAGTGAAGCGAAGCACGGGCTGGAGGGAGAGGTGAAAAGTTGACCGCGGTCAGTTACAGTAATAAGGTGAAGTTACAAACTTCAGAAATGATAGGGACCTTGTATCACGATCTTCATATTTTAATTTCTCTCTGAATATACATTTTTAGATCCTATATGTAACTTTATTGGTAACTATGTTACTATCTTATAAAATTAAAAAAGGAGCAATGATAACACCAGTGATATCATAATATACTGCAGGTTGATGAAAATAAACCAAAGATGTTGATCTAACACATGACTACTGTCACGAACAATAATTAATTTATATGTTTAATATTTTATAGTTTTAGTTATGTTATATCTTCATCATGTATGTTTAGTAAGTTCTACGAAACAATGAAATGGGTTCTTAAAGATCATTTCAAATGTTTGAGTATTTTAAATCCAAAGTGTTATTTTTGGTGTACAATTTATGTTTAGGGACAGTCCTTATAAAATTTTATTTACTAACGAATAATTAGAAACCGTTAAAATATTTGCTATAAAATTTTCTGTTTTTCAAAATGGTCTAATTTACAAAAAAAAACTATAGTGTTATTATATGTTAACAATTCATTGATACATTATTTATAAAGATATCTACCGACGTGTTAACAATCACGATCGGAGAAATAGAAAGCAAGTTTTTAACAAAATATACTGACACACACCTGCTTATAGAAATTGTTACTTCCGCTTGGAAAATGTTTAATTAAATCAAGCGACGGCGTATGATACCTTATAGATACTACCGCAGCCCAAGACTATTCAATGCATTACAGTCTCCGGAGAATTCAAGGTCCCCGAGCGTGGCCAATACAGACAATAAGTGGACAAAGGAATCTTTTTAAATATAAATATTAATATATCTTACCGACACATACATTAAACTTATAGATGGTTGAGGCGTTTGAATATTTTGTTAAATTTAAACGGTATGCAGTGCAATACACGTATCTACACGTAACCTTGAAATTATTTTAGCTGGGAGCATATATCGAGTTTCATAAAGTTAAGATTAGAAATTGAAAAAATCTATATAATAATGTTGTATGATACGGAATATTTAGACGCCATTGACAGACGGGGAAGAAAAACATCGTGAGGAAACCTGGACTTATAATTTCAAATTATAAGTTTGAAATCATCAAACCGTCTTAAGCAAGCGTGGTGATTAATGCTCTAACCGTCTCCATGTGATAAGAGGTCTTTGCTTAGCAGTGGCTGATGATGATGATATTAATGATGATACGGAGTAATCACGTTAACTTTACTACTCTCTGTATGTGAAGTACCTACTTACTATCAAACTGAGAGTTTGGCTGATGATGCAAAACGCCCTGATAAGATTTTGCTCCAAGGAATTGAAAAGGAGGTAGATCTAATCTTGAATCTCGTAATGATGAAGGCTATTGAATTCAATATTGAACATGACTGAAAATATATTCTGAAAGTCTTTTGAATAAATTACTATTATGAACCGTCGATACATAAAAGTGCTTAGTGCAAGAGTGTGTCAGATTCTTTTCAATAATAAGGAGTGATGGATGTTTTACCTCCACTCAAAAAATATTATTAAGTTAGACTACAATTTTGTGAACAGCAACTTTATAAGTTAAGCTTATTGAAGTTGGAGCTGCGTCCTGAGGGCGACCAGAGGGTGAATGAAGAATAACACTACATGTGATGATTGAAGTAGGACAGGAGAAACTGGTGCTTAATATTATGGTGACTTATCTAATTATTACTAATTTACGTTTAAGTAAAACAACTTTATATGTAAAAATATCTATTGTTGCTGATACCCGCCACATTACTTGAGCGTGAGGAATCAAGGAGATAACTACTAGGATCAGAACAATCACCTAAATTGAAATATAATTTACAAATTTAATTAAAAATATAAAGTACTGTTAAACACGATTTCGTAGTTTTCCTGTAACTGTGGACTGGTCAGATCTCACACATACATATATACAGATGCGAACTAATGTTTCCTATCATTTATGGCATTAAAGGAGTTTACAAAGATACAATAAAGAGTCTCTTTCCTTTAGATCGAGCGGATTTGTTCAAAATGTAACAGCTTCTAACATGTTTACGTGAAGAATGTTTTATTTTGGGAGTAATTCAGTGCAGCCAGTGTCACATACACATGTTCCTCCTGATAGCAGTGATACCCTCCGCTCTCTGTCTGATAACTGATAACACACGCAATCACAACAATAACACTTAAGTTGTTGGTGTTTTTTGGGTTTACATACTTATATATATAGGTATATGTGCTCTAGACGACAAGTTGAAATGAATGAAGTGGCGACAATTACATTAAAATATAACTTGGACTTATCATAAAGTAAACTAAGATAACGGAACTGTTTAAACAATCTTATTTAAAACTAACTCTGTCGCTTTAACCTTTGTGTGAAGACCATCTCATTAAAATCTAAAGTTGGCGCTCTTATGTAACAATTTATTTTATTTACAAGTACTTCTTGTTTTATTACTTTTTCTATTATCAAATTTATGACAGGTTCAAATCCACGAGACATTGTCAATAAACGGCTATAGGTTTTTCCGTGGACAAAGACTTTCTCAAAGATAATAATTGGCCAATGTTATGTGGTAATCAATTCACTACTATCTGGGTCCACTCACAAAACGTCACATGTTTCAGCTGACATGTTTTGAGTGATCGGAGTCATTTCTGAAACATAAACATTCACTATCATATCATGATGAGCTCAAACACCGGCATGTCTTGGATAAATGACTACTCAAGACCCACGCTATGAATAATTTAACAATTCAAACTCATACGACCAGTCTCTTGATGGTGATTTAAAAACAAAATATACACATTATTTGTGTTACTGAATCAAACATATTATGGTGTGCAAACTACACGGATAATACATAACTATATGTATATAATTGCCGTCAGTTGCCAAAGATTACAGTTAAAATGAAAAACTATATAATATGTAACTACAATAGTAACTCACCAATTTTATTTTGAAAACTCGGGATTGAAGAACAACTTTTGTGTTTTTATTTTCTTGGACGTATTTATTAAACTTCATAATTATTAACAAAACTACAAATTGCTATCCATAAAAGCGAGTTTTTTTTTTTGTTGAAGTGATGCATAACTATATTACATTTGTCAAGTGTAATGTAAAACTTAAATAATGATTTTCTTGTTATACTCGTATCACCTATAATAAGGCGTCGATGCAGGTAAGACTAATTACAAGAGAAGGGAGCGAGTTGATTGTAATTAATATAAATCAATTTAAAATTACATAAACAAACATTACTAAACAGGTCTCGGGTACTTTATATTCTAATTAGTTCCCACACTATCGAGTCACGTCGCTCATTTGATCTGTTGCATTTCGACCTCAGAATACTGTTAATAACTTCCGTCAAACTTTCCAAAAATAATTAGATACAACTATTGTAGTTTTTATTTCCGTAGTAGTCACAAAATCATTTCAAGTTCAATGAGGGTGTGTTGTACGTTGTATGTACCGAGGGCGCGGGCCCGGGCCCCGGGGGCGGAGGCCGTGTCTCAGGCCCGCGCTGGGCCCGCAGTCAGTTGTGTCGCGACGCTCGCGCCTCACGGTCCCCGGCGACGGTCATTCACGAACACACGATGCCAGCCAACGGTCAGTATGACTGTGAATTCTTTCTTGCTTCGATAACATTTAAATAATGAAAATTATTCACAAATCTCAGAACATTCCATAATATTTTATTATATAAGTATAATTATATACAAATTTTATTTTGCAACTCTGAGCTTTTATCATTAACATAAACAGTCCTTAAAAAGCTCGCATGTGTTTAAAAACATTTTTCGTTAGTCGTGGCGCGTTCCTGTATCTAGTGATAATGGATTCGTCGCCTCGTGCTTCCTTACATACTATTTATAAATTTGAATTAGGCATCTTATAAATATATAATATCAGTGTTCGTAATGAACGTTTTTATTTTCGTGTTTGTGTCTGATCTTTGCGACTTCTATATTTACGTTTCATATTTGTCTCCGGAGTAAATAAAAATTGTCTTTTTGTTTTTCCAATACCATTTCAAAAAGGTGTCTACTTCTAAAAGTCAATAGTTCATGTGGTCTAGTACGAGCATTATTTGTTAAATACAATGCTAATAATGTTGATATAATTTACTAAAATAATGTTAAGAATAATTTAAATACTTAAAGCCGAAAGGTCGCAGTATTGCGTCATTTACGATTAACAGCAGCCGACACTACAACTTAAATATTATTTAAATACATCGACGATAAATATGGCGGGAAAATATTTTATTTTACATAATTACATATTACATCACAGTCTTCATGGTTCTGTTATTATCAAACAAACATTACACTAGGATTTAGGTATGTACTACTACATGTCTAAGGACTTAGCAATTAGTAATTATGTTTATTATAATCATTAACATTAATTAATGACGTCATTGATTTATTATTACGAGATAATAAGTTTACGTAAATAAAACTAAACACGTAAATAAAAAAATACACGAAAACATGTCACAATGAAATGTTTTAGTTGGTTTTTTTATCGTTTCACAAAACTTACCGGAGTACAGCTCGAGTCGCTGTGTCAGGTCACATTTATATAGATATAATATCTAACAACTTACTTTCGGCTACCGAATATTGCGTTTTATCGCTAAACATTATAAATATGATTTATAATATATGATTTCACAATCACTAGAGATATAAAATAAGTTTATGAATTCGTTATTTCTGCACCACAAACCTGTCAGGTTAGATAATAAGATATCATCGAAGATTTCGTGAAAATGTTTAATTATAAAAATATCGTTAAGTACTTAATTATTTAATATAGAACGGTTTCTAATGAACGCCGACATGCTCAATATTTTGTTCAATGATATTTTTAACATGTTCAAAATAATCATCATTGGACCACTAAATTCTTTTAATATCTATTGTGAACAATTCTAGTATCGGAGTCTCGTAGCGGCGTGTCGTCGTTCCTGTCCCGCTGGTGGCGCGCGCTGCTGTCCGAGCTGGTGTCCACGGCGCTGCTGGTGCTGCTCGGCGTCGCGTCCCTGCTGCCTGTGGACGGCGCGCCGGCTCCTCTCACTCACCCGGCGCTGGCCTTCGGGTGTGTGGTGGTCGCCAACGTGGAGGCGTTCGGTCCGTCGTCAGGCGCGCACATGAACCCCGCCGTCACCCTCGCCGCCCTGCTGGACCGCCGGCTGGCCCCGCTGCCGGCTCTCTGTTACGTGCTCGTCCAACTGCTCGGCGCCACGCTGGGCTTCGCGCTGCTGATGGCCCTGACGCCTGACACCTTCGTGGGTGACGTCATCGTGGGTGGTAACGCCCCGGGCAGCGTGGGCCCGGTGGCAGCGGCCGCCGTGGAGGCTCTGCTGACCGGGGTGCTCGCGCTCCTGTGCTGCGGCGTGTGGAGGGCGCACGAACAGGGCAAGGAGGACCCTGCTGTCTCCATAAAGTTCGGGCTGACCATCGCCGGTCTCATCTACGCTGGAGTGAGTCGCGGTCTTATGGCCTTCTAAATCCCAGCAGCTTCCACCCAGTAGATTTTTTTTAAAATTTATCATTAAAGATTAATTATTATAAAACAGATTAAAACCTTGAAGTGACAGAAACCTGCGATAACCTTTTAAATAGCGATAACAACAATCAAACATCAATAATAATCAAATATCATGGTTTTATATTAATCGTATTTCTTACAGGGTGTAATGTCAAGTGCGTGTCTGAACCCCGCTCGCAGCTTCGCCCCCGCCGTCCTCCAAGGGTTCCGTTCGGATCATTGGGTGAGTGAGGAGTTCTTTTATTGTCCATAATCACAATGTAAATTATCCTCACAAGTCCACGTCCCGTGTGTCAGGTGTACTGGGTTGGTCCCCTAGGAGGGTCGGCGCTGGCTACTCTCCTTCATCGCTACGCCCTGCGTCCGCCACCGCTCGCGCCCCTCGCCCAGCCTGAGGAACTGCCGCTCAACGATAAACCTTAGAATTCTGAACCAGCGTCTACTTCCAGGACGTTCACAAACATGAACACTTTGGAGGAAATGATATAGAAAATATGCTCTCTGATTGAAACGATAATACTCACCCCGGTCACTATTGTATGACTCCGGTATATGAAGACACGGCACGTTAATACTAGTCGATATAATATTTACAAATGAAGGTGACGTAGGTTATAAGACGGTCGAACAGGGATTCAAATAATTTGTTACAAAAGTTTACATTTTAATAATTGTTATAATATTAATTGAGACTATTTTAATATATTTTTTTTAATTTAAGTTGTTTTTAATATTATCTTGTATACCTTCCTACTTATTATAAGAAATCATACCAAAACTATTTAATTAAATACACCCTTGTAAAAATGGAAGGGCACAAAACGGAAAATAAAAAAACGTTAGAATCACCATCACTACGCAAAACTAAATAAAACCCACCTGTCGTTTTCAATACCAATAATGCCACCACTTGTTTTGTATCGTTTATTAATGTAGAAACCATTTTTCAAAACCTTGAGATATTTCTTATATTGTTATAAGACCATCAAAAATAATTTCGAGTTTGTAGATAAATTGAACATTATATAGACCTAAAGCAAAGGAGCCCACGAGTAAAAAAAATGATGCAAACTGAACATACAGGCTTATAGTTTTACTTTTAAATTAAGTATGAGAAGCTTTTAATCAATCACTTATACGAAAATTAAGGTGAACTTAGTAGCAATAAATAGAATAGGACAGAAGTTACAATCTTACATTTCTAACAAGACTTCTTTGTTTTTCCAATACATTTAATAGTTCTAAGTAGTTTAGGGTGCAACAGTTAAATAAAAATAACAACTATTGACGAAGCAGGATATAGAAGAAAAAACTTTAGCTTTATCTCTCTAGAACATTGATTCAGAAAATGATCCTTCTGAAACCCGCAGCAGTTCACGGGGAACTACACGAACATCTCCGTGGAGCTGAAACTGTCCCTCTTTATTGTGTACCTCTTTTTATGTCGTGTTTATGACTTCTGTTTTGAATAAGAACTATGTATGAATAATAATACACTACCTTACTATTAAATATACCTAATGTTGTAGCTGAATATAATCGAATCTCAATAACGGGAAATGCACACTATTTACAGGTTATTCCTCTGAGCTACACTAACATTATATGCAAAAGTCGGCACTTATGATCTAAGATCTTTTCACAAATTACAAAAACATGTTTGATTTTTTGCTCTATACCGATAAATCAAATTCGAAATTTGGTCCGTCATGACTCGGGATCAACATTCAGCAAGTTTTAAATTGATTTCTAAAAATAATTTACTCAATTTAAACTTTTTTTGTAACGGTTGTGTTTCCACATAAGAGACCAACCTCACACCACCGCATGAAAAGATCGTGTAAGGCTGCCCCGCCAACTATTATAATCTTAGACTGACTCCATCGTGCCAGTTGGTTACCGAGTGAGAAGATACAAATGAGAAAATGTGAGGACTTCTTGCTTCTCCGTAGTCTCCCGATAAATGCCTCACTGTTACATCAAGACTGGCCGTGATGTTAAGCTATAAATACAAGGTTTCGATCAAATTCACTCCCCATATTTATTATTTCCTCAATTATAACGTTTTTTAAAAACCACCTATGTATTAATTACCTTAATAGAATAGTTATAGGCTAAAAATGCCTTACATAGTTTTGTAAAAGATCTGATACTCTTACATTCTTAGACTGTTATCAACCAAACATACGTAAGAACTTCCATAGAAAGCTGACTTTCAAATGAAAAATAGCATTAAATTAAACAAGTCGTTTGAAACCAGCGATGCCACAGACAGGCAGACAGATAGTAACACACGCACACACTCACACGTTCGACCATCCGCTCGTATATACACACTGATACTGACTCTTGGAGGCAAGGGTTTAAACTGAAAGGAAAAAATAGTTTAGGACAAAATACAAGCATTTTTTTAGCCCGCCAAGAAAAGTCTCTTTACCTTGACTCAACTTTTACCAAGGACAAGCCTTCAATTGCTAGGTATCGAAGTATATTAAGTTTTGGTTAGTTCATTCAGTCCAAACTAAGACAACTGCAAAGCGCCTCCGTGCACTTGGAAACCTACCTCGCATCCGACCGAATCAATACGCTTACTCATTACGTCTAGTTACTCACAACGTTCACAAGTTACACCTTTTAACAATTAAAATAACAGTTAATCTATTCCAATTTTCAATAGAATAAGTAGCAATCGGTGGCTGCCAGTTTCTTAATGAAAGGCTCAAATCTCTTGTGATATGCATATAGCTCATTATGACAAAATTTTAACAAATTAATTTTAACCGATGACATCGAAAATATCTTGACCGAAATAAAACAAAGGGAAAATATAAAGAAAATCAAAATTTATTATCACATATTAAAAGTTAAATAAAATTAGAGACATTATTTTACATTCCTATTATAATGTTAGCAGTCGCCGTCCTCTCATAACCTCTTCAGTATACGTCTCTTGTCTCTGGCGGGCGGGGCTCCCGCGCGCCGCTCGCGCTTCACCCGCGGCCCCCCCTCCCCCTCCCCGTCCCCATCACCCTCAGCAGCAGCAGCCGCCGCGCCAGCCCCCGCGTGTATGTCGGTGTAGAGCTTGGCGCGGGCGAAGTAGTCGTCGTAGCGATCTCGGAGTAGGGCGGCCGCCTCCGCGTTGAGCGCCGAGTCCGCGTTGGGTGCAATCAGCAGACACTTGACGGCGAGCAGGGCGTGCTCCAGGCCGAGCTCCGGCCGCCAGTCGCGCTTCAACGTGTTGACGCACACCTCCCCCGACGACGACACGTTGGGGTGGAAGATGCGCGTGAGGAACACCGCGCGCGGAGGAGCCGCGGGGAACTCGCGCCCGAGACACAGGCGCACGCGGAACACGCCGCCCGCGTACGGAGTGTCCGCTGGAACAACAACAACAACAGATTACAAACAATGGATTAATAACACATCCTATCTACCATCTATTGTATGAAGTTACACATCTATTATTCTCAGACACAATCATGTGCCCAAAATTGTGATCAAACATATTCAGGGCTAACACATTCTTCACCATTTCTCATGCTTTGTTGACATGAGACTATCATTGTAATATGACACCAATTTTGATGTGACTAGTGCTAGTATTCTCTATCAAAATTAACTAATAACTTTATCCTCATCTATGTTGGTGCAAAAAGAGCTTTACTGAATATAAATAGAAATCATTGTTTTTAAAAAGTTAAGAACTTTTGTATATTGTTTTTGTTTTTTTTATTGTTTGTTTAACATTAATATGTTGAGTTAATAGTTAAAATAGATATACAGTGTAACAGAGCAATAAAAGAATGTTCACAGCTAAGCAGCTTTTACTAATTTTAGCAACTTAAAAGGTACTTTTTATTACTTAACTAGCGGCCCGGTACGTGCTTCGCTACGTATAAAGTGAAATAAAATAATCAAATCGGAACATCAAATTCATTTATTTAATCAAAAAAATATTTTATTTAAAATCGAAATCAATTGCTAGCTATTTACAACACACTTAATCCAAAACATTTGGATAAACAATATTTTTTGTTTTTCCATTTTGAGCATAAATAAACAAACGGCTGGGGGTACCGACTCTGGAACAGGCAACATATAACTGGCCATGTGAAAAACAATGTTCCTCCAAATTCACACCACAAACGTGAAGTGTTTGACCTTGGGCCTTGTTGATGGACATCGCAAATGATAAACGCACAGGATATTGTAAACGTTTGAACTCAAAAGGCATATCAGTTGGAATCATAGGTATACGCGGTATCAAAACAACTTCTCCTTTTGATTTACCAGTTAAGATCGTAGCTTCAATCAAATTTGGCAATAACTTTTTCACTGCCAATCTGGTTCCGTTACACAGTTTTGGTGGATTAATATTTCGCAATAATATAATCGAAGAACCAACTTTCAGATTCAAGCAATGCGGTGGCATACCAGCCGGCTCCAATGAATTTAAAAATTCAATTGGATAATTCATTGCCTCATCTTGATTCATAACACTGTCAATTGATTTATATTTCGTGACTACGCCTGGCAGTTTCGCTTGAATTTGAAAATTAATTGCATTGACATGAATGTTTTTCGGTGCTAAAATGGCGCGTTCTGTCAACCAATCATGATTTCTGTAATTCTGAACAATATTCGGAAAAACACATTCAATCAATTCATCTATCGATTGCGCAATTGTACAAAAATTGTTCGGTACAGCGATCAATCCGTTGGTTCCGTCGATTTGTATTTTGCCGTCACCAATTTCTAACAATTGTTTTGAGAACTCATGGGCAGCTGGATCATTTTGTAGGTGAACACGCATATTAATGTTTAGTGTCAATTTTTGTAGATATCTCCAAAGAACTGATGACTTCAAGCAGGCATTTATTTCATCAGCAGGAGTTGATCGAGGAATGACAGGCAATGTTTGACGAAAATCCCCTGAAAGTAATATCAAAGCACCACCAAAAAGCTGTGGATTACCACGTAAATCTTGCATTGTTCGATTGAATGCTTCTAGTGATTTTTTATTCGCCATTGTACACTCATCCCATAAAATAATTGACGTTAATCGCAGAACTTTTGCCATAGCAGAATTTCTCGATATATTGCAAGTTGGAGTTTCAATCACCTGTACATTCAATGGCAATTTTAATGCAGAGTGTGCGGTCCGACCACCTTCTAATAATGTAGCAGCAATTCCCGAAGATGCAAGTGCTAGTGCAATTTTCTGATCTGATCGAATAGTCGCTAAAATCAATGATATAACGAACGTTTTACCTGTGCCACCAGGTGCATCCAAAAAATATAATCCACCTGCATTATTGGAAACGGCTTGCATGATTGTATCATATACATGTTTTTGCTGAATATTTAATTTGGTTATATTCGATTGTACAAATAAACGCAAATCATTACAGTTGAATTCCTGCTCACGTTGCAATTCACGATCAAACAAATCATGCATGGGACGATTTGGTGCGGTCATACCCAATTGTACTAATGCTTTATTTGCAATCGTTAGACATATATCTTCAATTATTATCAAAGCTTCGTTGCACATTTCCAAGGTAATCAACAAATCAGGATTTCTTGCATGATGACGCATACGAATTAAAATATCTTCTGCCATATAATTTTTATATTTGTTCCATAATTCAAGTGGATTTGATGGCATACATGTCGATAATATAATGGCAAATAGCATTCGTATTTGTTGTGGATGAGCTGACGTAGATGCATCATTAAGTGTTGAATCCCAATGTGCATCATCCTCCAACAAATGCAAGAGTTGACATGCTTCACGATATGTTTGACACAAATGACCGTCGACTGTTCTTAATTCTTGAAATGATTTTGGGCCATTGACGTTAACTAATAGCAATCGCAAATAAAAAAACACTCAGCATTGTTTGGATGTACTGTATACATTCTCCCAATTGCATCTGTTTTGAAAATGCCTGAATGCCCATCGACTGCTGTTCCTTGTTTACGTCTTTGAAATTTTTTTGAAGACACATTCCATGTATAGTACTGAGGCACTTCGGAATATAACAAATTTCTAGCAAATGTATCAGTTTCGCATAATTTGAAAAAAGCTGTCAACGTAGTCGCTGGTGGGTGTGCTGCTCTTTCCAATGCATTTGCTTCATTAAAATAAATACGTTGGCCATTCTCAAGATGCACAGCTAAGTGAACAACCACAGGATGTCTTTCGTGCATTGGAAACGACAGAATCCTCCAGACAGCTTCATTACTACTAATATAGCGCCCCAGTTGATACTGAGTAATTTCATCATTTCTATTATCACCAGCTACACCGAAAACAGCCATATCGCTCCCTTTATTTACATACTTGCAAATATATTTAATGGATTTGACTGAATTACAATACTCCACATTTATATGAGCCTTGAATATTTTCGATAATAATGGACAATACGGAACCACCCAACGATTATCAACTTCAACGTCCTGGTTACGCATTCTAATGTTTGCCGTTTTGCCATTATCATTAGGTGATCTACGTCTATACAACGGATATCCGTCATTGCCCGTTATTGTGTCTGAAGTCAATTGTCTTGGGTATCGTTTCGAACACTTTCCATCAATCATACATGGCGAATTCATATTTAGTTCACCGCACGGACCATGTATCATGTTTTTAACGACAACATCAAATAACTCAGGATCAACAGTTTGATCAGGAATTTCACCTGATATAACGTTATCGATTTGATCCGGAGTTATTTTATTTACCAGCCAAATTAATATATGTGCGTGCGGCAATCCCCTTTTTTGCCATTCGATTGAGTACATATGGCAACGCACCTCTCCAAATACACTTAATTTCACAATTAAATCCATAAGTGCTGTCAATTTTCGCCGAAAAACACGTGCTGTAATGTCATGACGATCAGTTGTCGACTGGCCTTCAAATAAATTGTTCTTGATGTCATCCCACTGCGGATTACATGTAAATGTAATGAACAGATCCGGTCGACCGTATTTTCGTACATAAGACATTGCGTCTTGTGCATATTCGTTCATATGCCGTGGGCTACCAATATACGAAGATGGCAATATAGTTAAACGTCCGATGTCATTAACATTAGCATCATTCGCTATCGCATCTTGCAAATGAATATATTCTTCGGATCTTAATTTTGCTTGGTTGAAACGAATAAAATTAAGACGTTCAGTCTCTATTTTGGCATACATATCAACGATGTACTGATGATATAGTTTACCACATTTTAAGATATAATTTTGTTCTTGTGGACGAATCATCAATCGATACGAATAAAAATTCATGGCACTAACTTTTTTCTGTATATGTAGACCTGATAATAATTACAAAATGTGACTTTAGAAAGTTGTAGAAATGAAATGTCAACAATAGGTCAATTATTTACCTGTTCGTGGATCAATCATTGGTATATTGATATGGTAACCATCGTCACCTTTCCAATGCAATATTGGGTACTGTAATGCATCGTAACTACGATGAAGTTCCGAAACACGTTGCAATTGCTCATTTCTACGATGAAGTACAATATCACGGGATTGAAACTGATCACCAAGAATTACAATTGCAACCTCATCAATTGTTGGTGCATTAAATCGCCTTGCATGCTCTCCAAAAGGTGTTCTATCAGCTCTTATTACGATTTTGTGATTATCAGTTGGCATACGATCGAGAGCAATTTTAAACAATTGAACTAATGCGTTATGCTGATGGAAAAACCTTTGTAGCTCACGAATAATTTCTCGTCTTGTATTCGAAACAATTGCACAACGTTGATCTAATTCACGATTTTCATCACCAATAAAATAAATTTGCAAAAATTGATGATCAGCGTCGGGGTATGGCAATAACGAACCAGCTTGATGATAAATCTGGCCCTGAATCTGTAACATGTATACAATTTTAGGTAAATCTTATATCAGTTTTTTTTTAAATATATGACGGCGCATCCGTCAAAAATCATACGTCAGGTTGACTTTTAGCTGTCTGAGGTTAGCCTAGTGAAGCGTCATTGTGATGGTAGCGAGGGCGGCCATCTTTATTAGGCAGTATCGTGCGAGATGACGCCCGCGCACCGCGCTCGTGACGAATCGCTGTGTATCGAAGTGATAGTGATATCTAGTGTTTCGATTGAGTTGGTGTCGTATTGAATAGACTGTACTTTATCCCTTTCAAAGTATGAGTTCCCATGAAGGCCCTCCTGTTCTTATAACGCCCTCCTACATCAGAAGTGGGATCGAAAGGGCTTTAAAATGAGGAGAGTAGTGATCATCCATCTATGTTAAACTTTGTAAAAAATAATGAGAAACTTGTCGATGAAAATAATGTCAACTTCTCAACTAACTTCGACGACGTAGT